GCTAAATGAAGTAGTCAAAAATAGTTTCAATGTTTTCTGTTGCTATTCTGTGTTTTTCATCATATCAGGTAAGAATCTAAAGTAATTTAAAATGTCCCTTTGTGAGTCGTTTTTTTTTTTTTGAGATTGTCGCAGTTGTTGTAGCTAATAAATCATATTTAGATGAACAGAAATGAACTGATTCAGATGTGCGTTTGAAACATCAGAAAACTTGCAACCTTACAGGGCTCTACATACTATTCAAATAAAAAGGTCTCTAGTTGTAAAAGCGTGTGAGCATTTTACTGACTTTTCCACATCAACATTATCTATTGTAGATAGACCTACAAACTACAGTGGCACCGCCAGTATTTCTGAGCGATACTACCATAGTACCGGTAAACTGTGCAACTCTAATGTGAGTAAATTAATTACATTTCATTTTTGAGTGAACTATCCCTTTAAACCTGACTAGAACATGATCATGTTTGCATGGTTAGAGACGTTCCACAAGACATTTTGTGCTGCGGTGGAAGCAAAAGCATCTGAGACAGCATTTTCAAAGTCACAGATTTAATCAGTGACATAAAAGCTGCGCAACATCACTTCTGATCACTCAAGATCTACACAGGCCTCGATCTAGAAAGCATAATGACAGACTGAGCTTTCTGTGCTAGACAGATGTGGGCCATCATCAGCCAGACTCCGCGGATTAGGGAACTCCATGCTATTTTAGGCCTGGTGCTCTTTAGGACAGCAGGGTCTCTCCCTCTCAGACTCCTCATGCTGCGTCGAGCATCAGCTACTTTAGTCAGCTTCATCTCGCAAAACAGACCACTCATTCAATAGAGAGGGTGCACTTTAATGGGACATATTATACAGAAGATGTCAAATAAATCTCTGGTGTTACCAGAATGTACAGTTGAAGTCAGATTCTTTAGCCCCCCTGAATAAGCCTCTGTTTATTTTTTCCTCAATTTGTTTAACAGAGAGATTTTTTCGACACATTTCTAAACATAATAGTTTCAATAACTCATTTCTAATAACCGATTTATTTTATCTTTGCCATGATGACAGTAAATAATATTTGACTAGATATTTTTCAAGACACTTCTATACAGCTTAAAGTGACATTTAAAGGCTTCCCATAGGGGGCTCAGCTCCATATGGGAATTTGCACTGAAGATTACCAAACTTGCACAGATTCAGCTCGAGAATAATGATGTAAGCTTGCAAAATAAACTATATAAATCATGATTTCAAGTAGACTAAGTATTTGTTATAATATGAACATGAACTAAACGCCTAATCAAAACGTACACTGTAAAAACGCTGGCTTTCACACAATTCCCTAATGATTTTCCAACACATCGATTATGTTAACTTAATTACTTTTGCAAATTTAAGTGGGCTGAACATAAAACAATTAAGCTGTCTTAAAAAACTCAAGAAATATGTTGATTAAACTCATTTGAAGTAGTTTGAGCAAGCAGCAAAAAAAAAAAAAAGTTATGGTTTAATAAATTGAGCAAGTAAATATGGACCATTTTCACAAGACTGGTATGACATGTTTGTCATAATCTTAAACTCTTCAAAGTTTTTTTAAATTAATATTTTTATTATCAGTGTTGGGGAAAGTTACATTTAAAAGTAATGCACTTCAATATTGAGTTACTCCCACAACAGTAGCTAGTTGTGTTGCGTTACTTAGTTCCTTGCTTTTGTAAGTAATGCGTTACGTTACTTTTGGTTACTTTTTATTACCTGCTGAGGATTGATCTATTTCAGAACTTGTTTTTTTTTTCTTATTATTTTTTATAACCTACATTTATCTTTAAAAAAACACATGAAAAAATATTTTAGGATAATGTTATCAGAGAACTTCCTGACTCCAGAGCTCAACATGTTGTATATACAGATTATTCAATGTTTAAAGCAATGTGTTTGCTGCCTTTGTACTAATTTACAGTGTCTGAGAAAGCTTAACGCAATGCACTTTAAGAAAACATATGCAATTACAAAAAACGCCAGCAAATTGAGAAAAGATCAGCCAAAAAATCTATACAGTGAAAACACATTTAAAAAAAAAAATAACACGCTGCATTTTCACACAATGCAAACAAATAATAAAACGTGCTGCATTTTCTCACAACACAAACAACACAGAACACTACGGAAATGTCCATTGACGATCCCCTTTTCCTTTTCTTTAATGTGTTCATTTTCTCATTGGCCTTGCGATTCATTGTGACTAGTTTAATTTTAATGCAGCAATTTATTTTTTAAAAGCTAATTAAACTAAAAAGTAACTCTCGTTACATTTTCAAAAAAGTAACTTAAATATTATTACTTAATTTTTTAAAAAGCGTTACTTTACTCGTTACTTAGAAAAGTAGTATTTCGTAACTCGTTTTACCTGTAATGCATTAACCCCAACACAGCTTATATTTTAGAAAAACGTCTGCACTTTTATTTATTTATATATCATATCATCTTTGGATCAAGTTAGAAAAAAAAATTTAATTTAGAGCAAGGGCAGGACAGTGAATTTGACATTGTTTTCTCTTCTGTCTGCCGTTACGAGTCTCACACAATTTTTTTTTCCTTTTTCTAAAGGTCTTTATAACAGCATCATGAAGTTTTTCTCTTTTTTTTATTTTAGCAAATAGGACTGTAAATATTTGTCATACTCTCCCACTTACTGTGCTCTAAGTTTACCCAACCATGACGACTTCCGCTAACCGAGAATCCTGGAAATGTAAAAAGGGTCCATTAAGTATTAGTATTCTATCATTAGCTATGCTTCAATCCAAAGATGTGAATTAAATTTCTGTGCACAACAGGACTAACGCATAAAAGACGTGCGAATAAAGCAGCACTTTCAATGAGTCAAAGAGAACAAAGTCACTTCCTGATTATCTGGCAGCAAACTTCAACAGTAAAAAAGGAATTTGCTGCAGTATGAGAAGCTGCATCAATCTTTTCTTTATTTAATAAATGACTTGCACCTCAGAAGAAAAATGCAGACATGCATTGAACGATTGGCGGCGTTTAAAAGCGTTAGATGCAGAGCTCAGACACACTTGATTTTGGAGGTCATTAATAATATAATAACTCAAATACTAAGATGGTTAAGGTATTTTATAATTACCAAAACAACATTTCAGATGTTTTACAATGTGCTCAGCCTGCTGATATGTCCAGTCACACACATATTTATCATTACATGATCTCTTACAACAAAATCACATGACCTTTTTTTAATGCACATACTGGAATTTGATCAGTAAAAGTGTTTCCATCGTAATTTCTTCTTGGATAAAGTTTATCCCACTCATTTATTTGCATCTTGGTGTTTTCATCAACCATTTTTTATGTGCATATCCAAAATGTGCATAACACAGGTGGATGGAAACATACCTAGTGTTAATATGTATTGTACACAAATTACATCTAATACTACAAAACCGTGACTGATTTATCATTTACCATACATGGTTGGCCTCTCTTCTGCCTGGATTGTGGGTCCTGAAATGTGTGTGGGTCTGCAGCTAGATTCATCTTAACAGCTGCAGTGGCACTGTGGGTGGAAACGTGCACATCAAGAGGCACTGATGTATAATAAGATCCTCTTCCTACGTCACTAGGAGAGTGAAATCTGAGCAGCTCATTTTTCCCACATGCTTACAAAGAAAAGCTCACCAAAACAAAGTGGCTTGTCCTTTGTCAAACTTTCCAGTAGATAGACCTGAAACTAGCTTATAGCACTTAAACACAAGGGAGAAAAAGATCAATATGTCTCCTTTAAGAAGGTTGGTCTCTAAACGATCCTGATGAAACGATCACGATGAAGGAGCGCTGCTAATAAAAATCATCCAAATATAGTCACTGCCCTTGAGTGCAGGAGGGGGATGTTTTTTAATTAACACTCTCAGTGGGTCACAACTAATAATGTGCAAATAGGTTTAAAAATAAAACACGAGTAACACGTCCGCTTTGAAACACCACCCTCGTTGAGAGATTTTTTCGTTTGATTAGGCACAGCCGTTCTTTGACAATTGAGCTCTTCATTTGATTGTTTTACAGGCAGTTTGGGGAAGGATGGATTCTGCGTGGGAGAGATGTGTTAGTGAAGGTAAGTAAATGGGAGAGGTTATCGCCTAGCATAATCTCCGGATGACCCGCAGGTCCTTCACTCTGACGCTGCTTGATGACACATTACGGCCATAAATTACCTTAAGTGCTAAAGAGTGTTCCTGCTGAGGATAAAGGTGGCCACTGGGAATCATTCTGCCTGCGGGCTAATTTCCTTTCCTTCCGGAACGTCCCATAGGGGTCAGTGAGCGTTTGTGTACCTGCAGAGACGTCATTAAAAGCAGATCTACATTCAGTATTTGTGAAGTATCACGCAAGATGAAATCTGCTTTCTGATGTGACTGAAAGAGGGAGAATCATAGGAAGACACTTCACATAAATATAGAAAATAAAAAAATATCTCTAATAATTCGGTCCTAAGTGTCAATAAAATACTGAACGAACTGTTGCTTTTTATTAATTTTCTAATTTTGGGAATACATATGCACATTTTTCGCAGTTAGAACCAGTGTATATTATCAATTAAATATATGCACTTACCGGCCACTTTATTAGGTACACCTGTCCAACTGGATCGTAAATTAACATAACCATTAGCCTACAACTAGCTAGTTTTAAACCAAATGCATTATTTTTGTGGTTGCTTAAATATTTAATATTTATTTTTATATTTTTTTCCTCGCTGCAGCTCAGGTATTGAGGTTGGTTCTAAATGGTTCAGCTTGACAAATGCCATCAACAAAAATATCATGCAAAAGAGGAATAAACGCCAACTTCTAGAAAAAATAAACAAAAAAACCCAAAAAAGAAAACAAAAAGAAATGAGCAAGCAAAAAACTAAGAATTAAATAAATTAATGAATAAATAAACAAATATAACAAACCATTTCCAGCAAATTAGAAAACACCACCAAACAGAATAGCTCATTCTTTCATCCATTTATTTCTTCCTTATTGTAATTTTGTGTAATCCAAAGCCACCAAGAGTGTTTGTTCTCCTCCGTGATGGGAAGCAAAGCCCCGAGTGTGTTAGCACTGCTCGACACATGTGCGTATGAGAATCCAATGGCTATCAGTCCACTTGACTTAAAGATATGGAGACTTTCTTCCTCACAGGGGCCAAAGTGCAGTTTTAAAACCAGCAATCAACACAAAAATCCCCGTCTTCATCACAGCCATAATGTAGGGCAATAATCTTTTCTCCATAAATACCAAACCAGAAAACTGAACCCTAAAGATCATCTCGCAAACACTAAATAAAAAAAACAAACAGAAAATAAAAACTAGCTTGAGGTTAACCACACTCCAGCTCATGTTTCGCGTATTAGACGGTGGCATTAAATGAGTTTGACACAGCAGTAAAACTGTGGTGAAAACCTCTGCGTTTATCCATACTAAAACTAAAAACTTCCCAGCGGCCCTTTCTTGAGAGGCTGTGGTTTAGCAGATAAGCGAATTAGCTCTTCATACATCATCAGATATCTATTGAATAATTTGTTAAATAATCCTGTGAGTTCATGTAGGAGTGATAAAACATTGTTATGGGTGTCAAAATTAATCGCGGTGGCTTTGTTTTTGTTATTGGTAATGATCACCGTCGAGGGTCAGTCTTTAAGTGCCGTTTGGTGTTGGTTTACTTGGTGTTGTAGGAGGCTGCACGCTGGTTCAGGGGGTTTTCCGGAGACTTTGTCCACTCCTTCTTGAGCTGCTGTTTTAGCTGGGAAAGCCGCATGTTGGGATTTTCCATTTTAACACGAGGCATGTTGGCTTCTTCAAACGCAGTGTACGCGGCTTTCATACGGCGCTCAGGATGACGGTCCAGATCTTCCTTAGTGCTAAAGAAAAGCATAAATTATAATGAAGCAGATGTAGAGCATCACCTACAGTAGGTTTTTACAAAGTGAAAAAACTTTGCCAGTGCTAGTGAAATCTATATACTGAATGTGTTTAATAACGTTCTTAGTCTTTGCTTCTTGTGTCAGAATGACCCAGAGAGAAGGCAGAGTTAAATGCCACATACAGTTTGCTCAGAAACCAAAATAAGTTATGCATAATGTGGGAGTCTTAATTATAAACATTTCCAAAATACACTGCACTGCACTTTTATTCTGAAATGTCTCTGATTTACTATGCAAGAGATTAAAAAAATGTAAGCTTTAAGATCATTTACATTTACAACAATATGAAAACCATGTATTCACTCGGCAAAAATGTACAGTGTTTATAAAATGCCTCAAAACCACAAGCCTGTGGAATATACAATACAGCTGTGAACATACAAAATTAATGAAATATAAAAACATAAGAATCACATTAGGTCAAAAATCTTATTTTACTCCTTAAAGTGCTTTTAACTTAAAGTTAAAATGGTCATTGAGCTTTTTGTTGCTTAAGGGTAAATCTGCCTTCAGCTTTTGCGGCCTCTGCTGCTGGAATCAGCTTTCAGAAATGATCAGATGTGCTCCAACATTAGCTTAAAATCAATGCTTAAAATCCATCGGTTTGGCTGTACATTTACCAAATGAGAACTGTGCTACATGCCACAGATTGTACCCATCTTCTGATGGCTTCTTCCAGCAGGATAACACACCATGTCATAAAGCGCGAATGATCTCAGACTGGTTTCTTGAACATGACAATGAGTTCACTGTACTCAAATGGCCATCACAGTCACCAATATTATGTCCTTCTTTTTTTTTTCATTCTTTTAAAACGTGTTTTAACATATTTTAATCTGGTTTTAATCATTTTTATTCTTGATTTTTATTTTCTTATACTTGATTCTTTTATTCCTGTTTATGTAAATCACTTTGAATTATTATTGTGTATGAAATGTTGCCTTGCCTTGCATAATTTCCTTTTATTTTATTTGCAAACGTGAATCGGAAACGTTTTCATTAAATAAATGTGCAAATAAAATATGATGCACAGACTTAATAATGATTCCTACTTGTCTTCCTTGCGATGAAGAGTAGGCAAAATCTGATATGTATCGGGGGAAAAAGTTCATCAGACGCTGGATTCGAACCGAGCTCATGCTCGAACATGTCAAAACATGCTATGCACTTTACGAGCTACGCCACTCATGCTGTTAAAGACACTACAAAATTTTACACCTATACATCGCACTATTTTTTTTTAATCCACTCAGTGCGATGTTCAGACCCAACTGCGTTAACCGCATCAGCTAAACTCTCCCACTCTATTTTTTTCTTTTGTTATTAATTCCGGAGGATAAACTTGCAAATAACACAGTTTTTCTCCGGTTTGCCTTTGAAAGCAGCACCTCCAGTTCACATTCTGTTCAAAGTTTCTCTTTTGCTTGGTTTTGCGTTGGGTTTTGCCAAAGTAGTCATTAGCATATTCATATGGGGGAGGAGGCAGGGAGGGGTTTTGCGCTCGTGCATGTTGCGCTCAGTTTCACGTTCATTCAGATGTACAAAAAGAATATGCGTGTGATTCGGCACATTTACAGCTTTGTGCGTACGCAATGTTTTAGTATGATTTCAACGCAAGTCTTCGTACATAAGGCCCCTGATAACTAGGAACTAATTGTTCCCCTACACCATTTTCCAGGTTGCACCATCTCTAGGAACTCTGAATTGACCTATGCTGACAGTACCATTAAGTATGAGTCCCTGTGTTTTTACATCCAGTGCTTTGCCATTTTTAAAGCGCATTTTCTTTATTTTTCAAACCATCAGCATCATCAACAAATGACACGAGTGCTATAAACACTTTTTTTTAGGTGTATCATAGTGTTTAAGGCAATGCTAAAAAGATAGCGTTTGGAAGAGAGAGTTATGAAATAACTGCTTGGTATATAAATTGTTAATTTTTGAAAAATCTGAACACAATGAATTACAACATTTGGGAATTGTGATTTTTAAATAAGGCCCAATCCTAATTCTACCCCTTACCCTACACCTCATTTTGTGCGTTCACGTAAAGGGATATGGGTGTCCCAATTTTCTTTAGATTGAAGGCATAGGGCCGAGGTGACAGGAGATGCACAATTTGTATTTTTCATCATTAAGAATTTTTACAAACAAGCAGGTTATAATCCATAATAATAATTTCTGTATAGGAGTCCCACTACATACTTTCACATCTGTCACTAGATGACACACGAATACCCCGTCAGAAAAGTCTAGTGGCTGTAAATAGGCTTTTTACAGTGTCTGCTATAATGTTAATATTGTTTTATTGTGTTTACATAGATGAACGAACACGGTGTAAACACACAATACAGTTACGAGCTTACTGCCACATTATATCGTACTGATAACATAATATCGTTGCCTTCTGTGACTTCCTGAAGATAAATACCAAAAAAATAATGCAACTGGAATAATACAGCAGTTGCGATCATCAATCTCATATGAAGAGATTACAATGACATTTGATGATGTGTGCAGGTGCTGTAGTGGTGTCCCATTTCTAAGGGCTAATATTTGAAGCCCTTCCCTTTTTACACACTGTTTTAAGGGCAAAGAGGAAGGGGTAGGGGTAAAAAAAAATTGAAATGGGCTAAAATATACAGTGCTTGAAGAGTCTCTTAATCTCCTCAAATCTGTATTTTTCAAGACAGCAAGATACCTGAGTACTGCAATGGCATCTTCAATGGTTCGGGCCTCCACTGTGCCTTCCTCTGGAACTATCCGATTGACATTTTCCTCGAGCGGCACATCCAAGTGGCTTTTCTCTGTAGATTTGAAGGCATACGGGAGACCAATGAGAACATAATCACCAAGTGCCTGATATATTTTAAAATTTTGTTTAATATAATCTGATTTATTCAGATGGACATCACAATACATTAAAAAAGGATCCAATGCCACTTCTATTTCTCAGTGATGTTAAAGGGGTAATTTAAATGAAAATGATATAGTGCAGCAGACAAACAGTGGTAACAAACATGTCAAATTATAAAACCTCTCTAATATTTAGTTGGCTTTAATAAAGCAATATGCTAATGTAAAATTTAACTTAAGTCGATGAGAACATTTTGTGATTATGGAGGTAGTGTTCTACATTGGAGTTATTGGATTGGCCCATACCTTTTTCCTTGATTTCCTTAACATTTTGCTTGCTTTGTAGAGTCTCCTCAATCTGCGCTCGAGTCACTTTACTGGGCCCTTCTTTTGTCTGTTTACCCTTTATCTTGGAATCTTCTTCCTCCAAAAGCCTTTGGTTTTCTCTCTTCCTCTCCAGAGCCTCCAAACGCTTCCTCTCCTTATCATCCTGTACACACGCACACACACACACACTCTTTTAAATTACAACCGGACCGATGTTATCGAGGCAGCCTGACGGTCATTAAGCAAATGTAAGTGTAAACTGCAGTGCAGAGTAAAGAAATTAGAGATGCCTCCTGCCCGCTCAGAGCGTAAGTAATGGTTACTAGGATCGGACATGGTCTTAACTGTCCGCATCCTAACCGCCGGCCACCTTCCTGTTGATAACATCCGCAGGAATGGTGACACAACAGTAAGAAGATACGCATAATGAGATGACACCTTCAGATGTCGAGCAGAGGCTGAAATGTCATTCGTGTGACACAGATAAGCCACACGGCAGGCCGTGCTCAAGAGCAAACCAAGATACGTTCCTCTCTCTTGACATTCTCACATATCTGCAGGTGATAAATTATATTCACCAAACCCGACTCCCAGACGGTGGCTGATCTTTAGGAGATGTAAAGGATAAATCAGTGTTTCCAGTGCAGGTGAGTTTGCATGAACACACACAGTGGCCTCAGTGACACAGGGTATAATTAGCAGAATGGCTGCAGCAGGATAACAGCGGTGCGAGTCGGATCGGCTGATGGAGATCAGATGGCAGCGATGGGAGGAAACTGGAGGAAAGGAACAGGGTGTGAGGAGGTCCTTACTGAAAGCGCCTTACCATGTAGATTGGCACATCATGCCAGTATTGCTGACGCACACTACATATGCCAACACCGGCTCAATAATGTATGAAACAGAGGCAGGAGAAAGCTGGGGAAGTAGGGGAGAAAAAGCCACCAATGAGCAGAGACAGACGGCCTTTCAAATATTTAGACTGCTAAAATATGTTCCAAGTAAATACTAAAATGTTAAATACAAATTAGCCTATTTTTTTTTTAATGTATCTTTGATTTAAAGGGATAGTTCACCCAAAAATGTATTCCCACTGTAATTGTCAATAATCTGGATGTTGAAAACCTGTAAACACTGACTTCAGCATTTGTTTTTCCAACTATAGAAGTCAACATTTTTTAAAATATTGTCCTTTGTATTTAACATTTATAGTTTATAACCACTTGAGGGGGAGTAAAGGTAAATCATATTGTCATTTATGGGTGAACTATCTCTTTAATACAATTGGGCTAACTTTTTCACTACAAAATAAGTGTCCCCAATTAAGCTAAACTTGACTTATAAATTATATTCAGATTGATATGATGCTTGTTTTTTTTAAAAAAATACAAAGATTATTTGAAAAACTCTTGTTATTATGATGCAAAGCAGTTAGCAAATGGGTTTTAAAAATAGGCTATCAAAAAACAAATATGTTGTCATCTTTGAATCATTCTAACCTTTTCTTTTTGAAGAGCATAACAGAAGATATTTTGAAAAACTATCAATACAATCAAAGCAAATGAGGTCCAAATCAATATTAAACCTGGTTGATTATTATTGGATGAATAAAAAAGGAGACATGTCAAAATATCTTCTTATCGACACTGGAGTTTTTACATTTTTGGAGATTTTTAATAGAATAAAATGCCTTTCTGTTGTCACTGTGTAACGTACACTTGTATAATGTAAATTACATATATGTGCCATGAGATAAAGTGCATCTCACTACTCGGTGCAATCATGTTAATATATCCGTTCCATACAGATCACCCTAAACAACTAGTTACATTAGAAATATCTATAGATGATTAACAGTAGTGCAAAATTAGGGGATGAGAGAGGGAGTAGGGTGAGGTGGAGCAAACAGTTCTGAAGTAGAACGGGAGATATATACAAGATGTACAATATAAATGTAAGATGGTAAATTAATAGTAGTGCAAAATAGAGATTGAGAGGGCGGTAGGATGAGGTTGAGTAAACATATCTGAGGTAGAACAAGAGACATACAATATGTAATATGTAAAGATGATGATGTAATGATGATAAGATGATGCAGCAGTGCAAAAAGTGGCATTAGATGAATTCAGAATGAAGCTGGAACTGCAGAATTCATGCAAATCAATAGATGTTTAATGTAAAATATTGTGAAATAAAATGCTGTAAACAATCAAATTTCAATGTAGACTAGTGGCTGCTAATTTAAATAAACTGCAAAAAGACTTCTGTGTGTTATTGCAGGTGAATCTGAGTTTCATAAATGAAACTAGAAAAAAAAAAAAGAATATTTGTGAGAAAAATACGAATTTGTCAGAAGCTAGTCCTTTTATGACTTTTAGGCTGGATTACTGTCACGTCTGTTTGCTAGTTGCCCAGCATCCTCTATTAATACACTCCAGTAAGTGCAAAATGCAGCTGCCAGTTTTTACCAGGGCTACAAAAATATGACCATATCATCACAATTGTATCCGCATTACACTGGCTGCCTGTTTAGTATCATATTGATTATAAAATATTGCTTCTTCCATATAAAGCTTTAAATAATCTAGCTCTTGTATATCTAACCAACCTTCCGTCTCACCACAATCCAACCCGCTCTTCAAGATCTCAAAAATCATGGCTAGGCCCACACGGAATCTGCGCAAGGAGATTTTCCGCAGAATTCTGCAGATTTTTAGCCCATCATTAATTCTGTTTATTTACTTGAGCAAATGTGTAAATCTGAATTTATTCAGTTTTTATTCAGTAATTTATTACTTTTTATTTCATATATTAAGGTTTTAGTTATGATACTCCGCTGGATACTCCCAAAATAATTCCGCAGAAATCCGCAGATTTTTACCAAAATTCTCCGCAAAAATAGCAAAAAACGTCCGCAGATTCCGTCTGGCCCTGATCATGGCTTCTGGTGGTAGCCCAACTGAGCCTGGTTTCTCTCAAGGTTTTTTTTTTCCTTCACTTTCATCAATTGGTGAAGTTTGTTTCTTACCACTGTCACCACAGGATTGCTTGGTTGAGTCTTGAGCTGCGCACTGATGGAGTCGACTACAGTGTTTAGACTTCCAGCAGTAAAATTTAAACCACATTGAACTGAACTAAAATGAACTTCAACTCTAAAACTGGACTGACACAGTTTCAATCTACTAGAACTTAAAGTTAAGCTGCTTTGACACAATCTACATTGTAAAAGCACTAGAAATAAAGATTAATTGAATAAAAAAAAAATCACTAAACACAGGGTTGCTTTATCACTGCGCATGTATTAAAACAGGACAGACAATGCATTAAAAAAACATGTGGACCAGATCATCTCTGCTAACACTCAGCAGCGGCAAACAAAAGCGTATTACTAGACTTAATAACAACCAACCAGTCACTTCATATCAGTCAGAACATCCATCCACAAACCTCATCCGGGCCTAATTTCAAAATCAAGTTTCATTACAGACAACGAACGCTCATCAATATCTGACATAATTGATAGAAGACATCAGAACTTGTGTGACGGTGTTACTTTAACCCAGACGGCTTCGGCTTTTGTTTTGTTTGTGGGGACCTCATTTCCTGAGCAACTCTAAACCTGACTTGCAATATATTAATCTATTGTGTGCTACTCAGACTCGCATGTCTAGAGCTTCAGCGAAGAAGACAGCTGTGTCATTTAGATACAAGATTAGCAGACAACAGGCTGCAATGTTAGACAACATTACATGGAAAACATGGGCACGATGGGAATTAAATTTCTGTACACTCAGAACAAAACTTGTAAATATTTCCATATCATGAAGTCAATTATAACCAAGATGGTAGGGTTACTGAGCCCATATATGTGTAAATTATCTGTTTTACGAATTTTATTATTTATATGTTTATTTTTTTCCTATTTATTTATGGTGTTAATTTGCATTACGGGACTGTGAGCCATCTTCAAACTAATTTTTGACCTTGACAAGTTTGAAAAAGTGACTTTTATAATAATTTTTACTTGTTTAAAGTGATATTTTGTCTGGGTTGGTGTTGTGTATTACGGTATAAAACCTTGTAATAAACTGCCAGTACATTTTTTGTTTTTGTACAGACTTATTTCTCTCCATACTATTTCTTATACATTATATTATTTCAAACTAGGCTACACATCATGTCATTTTAGCATTGATATCGCAATGTGCACATTGCATAGTCACATTGCAAAGATATGCAATGCTGAATCTAAACTACATTTGACCAGGAACCACAGAATAGTTTTTAATTACTGTATTTAAATGGAATTTATCTTATTTACGCAAAAAACATTTCTTATTAAGATTTTTTTTTGTTTCTAGTCCAAATATCTACATTTAAAAGAAAAAAAATGTTAATTTTGACTTTTACTGACGGTGAATATATATATATATATATATATATATATATATATATATATATATATATATATATATATATATATATATATATATATTACTCTTTATTTTTAAATTTGTTTGATATTTGGACTAAAAACTGGAAAAAAGTTAAATAAGCATGTATTTCCATAGTGATTATAGAATGTCTGTACTTACATACTGTTAAACTCCCCAAAAATAATCAAATAGTGCAAATAAATCTATCTATTGAAGCTGTATTCATATCGCAATATTTATTCCAGAATAATTAAATATTGCAAAAATCAGATTTTTCCAATATCTTGCAGCCCTATTTTAAACTATTAAAACATCAATAAAAGTCACTTTGTTCAACTGTAGTTGAATTTTCAACATCAGTCAACAAAGTGGAGATCAACATCCTATAATGCAATTCACAACTGTATAAAAATGGAAAACACTTTTGTGAATCACAAAATACAGATTAAAAAAATAATATACCTGTAATTTACAGTGTAGTTACTTTATCTGTCTACAAGCAAAACATATCTTGTAATTTTCACACTATATAGTATTTTTCACTAAATGCACACTACAATTTAAATGTTAAATTAAAAAGAAATCCATTTTTATACTCTGTACATATGCATAATACTGCCCAAAAGTGACCTACAATCTGTTATGTCCTTTCTTTCTATTCATCAAGTAATCCTGACTAAAATTGTATCGCAGTTTTAACAGTTTTATCCGTTTACTACATCGCTATTAAGAACTTTCTATTTTATTATTTCATAACCTATTTTGTCACTAATTTTGCTTTAGAAAATCTCAAAATAATCATTATTTTAATAATTAAAGGGACAGTTCACCCCAAAATTATAATGACTCGTTCACACTAACAGCGACTTTGTAGCTGCCTGTCGCTCTGAGTGGCGATCTGCTGCAAACGCAGGTCTGTGCAGGTCTACAGAACAAAGAAAACCACCAGCCTCTGAGCAAGTTGAGAGAGGATCACATGATGCTCCTATTAGCTGTAGCTTAAGTCGCTCTTTGTCCGCATAAAGTTTAAGAATTCTCAACTTTGTTACATCGCTTGTCACGCCCACCTTGTCATCAACCGTCGCTGTCGTTCACGTAGACGGAGCTTGCCGAAAGTTGCTCACTCTCCATTGAAATGGATGGTTGCTTGTCGATTTGCCGCTGAGAGTCACTCATAGTGTGAATGGAGCTTAATTATGTCATTTACTCACACTTCATTTCATCTAAACCTGTCTGAGTTTCTTTCTTCTGTTGAGCACAAAAGAAGTTATTTTGAAAAAAGCTGGAAACCTGGAAATGTTGACTATAGGATTTGTTTTTCCTACTACGGATGTTAATTTTTAAATTTTTTTTTTTTTCAAAATATTGTTGTGTTCATTGGAATAAAGAAACTCATAGGCTCATAAATATTTTGTATTTTGGTGAATTATTCCTTTAAATGTCACAATTTAGGATAGTTTTAATTGAATGGGCTTTGAAAACATACTGATCTGCCAACTAGCTCTGTCATGACATAACAATCCTGTGGCTTCCACTCTTTTCTCTCTCCAGGTTCTACTGCATTACTAAGCAGAAACTGCTACACTGTCAAACAATTCAAATGAACTGGAGGAACGGTCTGTGTAGCAGACTTTTACTGCCACCTTGTGTTTATACTACACTCTACAACTCAAAGATGATGTTGACAGTTTGGGGTGGATGTTCTGCACATACAGTATCTTACAATGGTGCAGTTTATTTTAAGTACCTATTGCAATGTCATATGAAGCAGTCTTATGAGAATTCACCTATGAGAATTCAAAGTGCCAGTAAATATTGACCACATTATATGTTTTGGTTAAAAATATTTCTTTACTGATCTCTTGGATGCCTAGAGGGTCATGACCTGAAAGGACAAGATTTCGGATACCAGCGGCCGAAATGAGTTTCATTCGAAGGGTGGCAGGACGCACCCTTATAGATAGGGTGAGGAGCTCTGACACCTGGGAGGAGCTCAAAGATGCTGCTCCTCCACATCGAGAGAGGTCAGCTGGGGTGGCTCGGACATCTGTTTCAGAATCTCCCTGGATGCCTACCTAGAGAGGTGCTCCAGGCATGTCCCACCAGCAGGAGGTCTCAGGGAAGACCCAGGACACGCTGGAGGGACTATGTCTCTCAGTTGGTCTGGGAATGCCTCAGGATCCCCCAAAGGAGCTGGAGGAAGTGTCTAGGCAGAGGGAAGTCTGGAGTTCTCTCCTAAGACTGCTCCCCACACAACCCTGCCCCGGAAAAGCAGATGAAAATGACTAAATAAATGAAAATCATACCTTCCGCTGTTCTTTCTTCACAACACGTTTGTCGTTATCTTCCCAGAGTGCATCCTCCAGCTCCTTCTGTTTGCGGGCATCAGCAACTGCTTTGGCTTCGGCCTTTCGGGCCCTGGCAGTGGCCGATTTGGAATTCTCCCCCTGGAATTTCTTCGGCATTCCTGGGACTTTCCTGTGAAAAAATAAGACAATAATAAGAACTGACCGAATATCAGTTTTTTTTTATTTATTTACTATTAATATTTTTTATTAAGCAGATGCTGCAATGAGAGTAAGCACATGCCATGTGAACTGCATAGTATAATCTGCTGGTTTTAAAAACAGAAAAATAATGAAATACAGTTATGTAAACAACCAAAACATTACCCTTATCCAAACCCAAATCGATTTGACACCACAAAAAATTGTATAGGGATGCACGATATAGTATAGGGATGAACGATATATCGGCGGCCATATTGGTATCGGCCAATAAATGCTATTTTTAATGTTATCGTTATCAGTCTGATGTCAAAATGAGACCGATATCTTTAAGCCGATAGATTATGTAATTGTACTGAACTGCCCTGCTTCACGCATGTGTGGGTAGAACTTGTTTAGACTTGTCTAGTGCACTATAACGGAGCTTATAATAGCCTGAATACAAATATTACATGTGTAAACATAATAGCAGTGATGCACATGTGCTAAACAATTGGTTGGGTTGTTTGCAATCTAATATGGTTATTTGTTATAATCAACGCGTTGCTTGCAATGTGTTGTTGATGTAAGATTGTATTCAGTTTAGCACATTACATACTCCATGATCCATAAGTAAGCAAATTCTAAAGGCATACCAATAAATAATTAAACATGTAAATCATTACATAGGCATGGGCCGGTATAAGATTCTGATGGTATGATGACCTTGGTATGAAAAAAAAATCAGTTTTACGATATCACAATATTGTGCTCACTGCTCTAAAATATACACTTTTTAAATGTCTGGGTAAAAAACTAAAACTTATTTCCCATTTGAACACAACATATTTTATTTTGAGAAACATTTAAAATATGTTGTAACAGTATCAGCATCATTGACTCCTGCTGTCTTTATTCATTTCAAAAACACAAATTTCTTTACAATTTAAAACGGCATCTTTGGTTATATTTTCAGCTAGAGATAATGTTGTCTTAATGACAAAAAAATAACGTAAATCTTACAGATAACGTAGGAACGGTATAGCAGAAAATTTTGCGGTTTTAAAACCTTGACTTCTCCAAACCGTGGTATACCCTGAAAACGGTTATCGTCCCACGTCTATCATTACGTACGGTTTAATCATTACATTTATTTAGGAATAGAGGTTACTGGGCTCTTTATAAAGTGATTTACACAGTGGACTGAAAATTAATGCGCTTGAGTTGCACATTTCACAGCAAAGCACGGGCTGCAGTAAAACAAACAAAAAAAAAATACAGGATTTAGAAAGGCCTTGTTCTCACTCTATAAAGATAATCTGGTATTAGTGGAGCGGGATAAACCACAAATATTTGCCTCACAGCACTGACAAAAGAGAAACATTTAGCCTTGGTTAACAGTTGCTGCTGCTTTTCTCTCCAACGTTAGCTATAAATATGTGTCATATCAACGAAAGGGCTGAACTACGAAAAATTAATTATAAGCACATTTATAAACAATCATTACTAAAAAAATCGTTATTTTACATTGTTCATTTTACAGGGTAGTTGTACATATAACTACAAATATTTATTATCTACCTGTAACGTTACTTGCTATAAGCAATTGTGCTCAGTTTACTGTTATTACTACATTGAGTTGTACCCGTAATGTGTGTAACGATGACACACTAACATGTTTACCGTTAACACAAATGAATTCACACCTGCTTTTGTATCACATACACCTGCTGCTGATTTATGTAGTTTAGACAGAACACAAATCCTCTGACATGTTTCGTGACTAAAGTAGTTAATTCTGGAAATTTCATAAAATAAACGACCGTGAATGGAAAATTCTGGAACTTTAGTGACATTTTAATTGCACTTTTCTTTTCAGAAACATTCTCGTTAGCATCTTTGCTAACACCTCTGGTTTCAGAGAGTAACAGTTTGTTTGTTAAAGCTTGTATCGGACACCTCGATTTGAATAATGAAAGCATATATATAGGGGTCATTCTGCCATATTTTATTGGTAGAAATAATTTTCAAGCCGGACTCTAAAATAAAACGTAATAACACCAACCTTTTCCTGAGCCAGCCTGCTGGGTGTTGTTCGCCCTTCTTTTGAAGCCGCTGCGGAACAGTCGAATGAGTTTATTTAGCGCCCCCTGGAGGCTCGACGGTCACTGTGTCTCCCCACACTACAGGCATGGTGACAGAAGAACTCCATGCGCCACAGATTTCTGACACGCTTTGTCAAAAGGTACAAAAATCGAAATACGTGTGTGATACTACACGATACCTACCATCCAGAATAACTCGATTAGAAGACATATTAACCAGCAAATACTGGGGGAATGTCTAAAGAATTTAACTAAATACTAAATATAAAACTAAATTCCTGTTGTGTGCAGACATGCTCGAGCTTTATACTCTCATTCTACTTTGCAACCGAAATGTAAAAAATACTACAGTACACAATACTACAAGTAGCCTACAATAGTACAACACTATATTGTCTTTTTGAACCTTGCTGTAGTCTTTCATTTCACTGTTTACAACTCTTTGTTGAATGCTACAGCATACTGTGAACCGATTACCTGTAAATAAAAACTCTCGTGTACTTTAGTTTTTACTACAGTAAACTGTGGTGTATTGTAATATAATATAGCCAATAATTGTAGAACCTACAGTATTGGTTAATTTGTTTTTATAACTAAAGTATTGTGTTAAATAGCCAATACAACTTCCACATAAAATTAGTTCAGGTACTTTACTATTGTTCACATACTTTATTGTATGTTCAAAACAGTATTCAGTATTTGTTTTAAATCATTAGCATTTTTTCATGTTGTATTTTTTAATTGAAGGTTTAGGCCATTTGTTTTAATGGAATTGGCAATGTAACTGCACTTTAGTTTTTTTATATACATCGTTTTACAATCAAATTTCTACATTTTCATTTTATAGTATTTTGTATTTCCAGAACATTTCAAAGAATATCTGGAAATTTTAAGGGAAATCTGGTCTTTGTTTAAAAAAAAAAAAAAAAAAAGAAGCTCGAATGATGTATGGTATAATATGGTATGGCATTTGTCTAGAACAAAAAATATCCAGATTTTATTGTGATTTTAAATGTGTAAATAGTTTTGTAATCCCAAAGTACACTTTACTCTTGTTACTTTTTCTAGTGTACATATAATCAAGACATTAAATCCTAAGTGTCAAAGAGATGTTCTTGTTTTTATATCTGCATATGAATGAACCTTTTCTATTCTTATATAAAACTTGAGATCTGGAGAATTGTCATTCTTGACACACCTCTCGAAAGGATACCCATGATTTAAATCTTCTGTGAATTTACTCAAACTTGAGCTAACCATGACCTTGGTGCTAATTTTATATATATATATATATATATATATATATATATATATATATATATATATATATATATATATATATATATATATATATATATATATACACACACACACACACACACACACACACACACACACACATATACTTTACTAGTACCGAGTTGAGCCCCCTTTTGCCTTCCAAACTGACTTAATCCTTCGTGGCATAGGGTTCTATAAATATTCCTCCGAAATTTTGACCTATATTGATATGATCGCATTATGCAATTGTTGCAGATTTGTCGGCCACACATACATGATGCAAATCTACCGTTTCCCACCACATCCCAAAAGCCCAAAAGTGCTCTATTGGATTGAGCTCTGGTGACTGTGGAGGCCATTTGAGTACAGTGAACTCATTGTCATGTTCAAGAAACCAGTCTGAGATGATTCATACTTTATGACATGGGTCGTTATCCTTCTGGAAGTAGCCATAAGAAGATGGGTACACTGCGGTCATATAGAGATGGACATGGTCAGCAACCATTCTCAGGTAGGCTGTGGTATTGACACGATGCTCAAATGGTATTAATGGGCCCAAATTGCCATGAAAATATCCCCCACACCATTACACCACCACCACCAGCCTGGACCGTTGATACAAGGCAGGATGGATCCATGCTTTCATGTTGTTGAAGTCAATTTCTGACCTTACCATCCGAATGTTGCAGCAGAAATCGAGACTCATCAGACCAGGCAACATTTCTCCAATCTTATATTCTCGTATTTTTTATGCCTGTGCGAATTGTAGCCTCAGTTTCCTGTTCTTCACCTGATGTGCTGCTGTAGCCCATCCGCCTCAAGGTTGGACGTGTTGGGTGTTCAGAGAAGCTCTTCAGCATACCTCGGTTTTAACGAGTCGTTATTTGAGTTACTGTTGCTTTTCTATCGGCTGGAACCAGTCTGGCCATTCTCCTCAAACCTCTGGCATCAACAAGGCATTTGCGCCCACAGGACTGCCACTCATTGGATATTTTCTCTTTTGCAAACCATTCTCAGTAAACCCTAGAGATGGTTGTGCATGAAAATTCCAGTAGATGAGCAGTTTCTGAAATACTCAGATTTTTTTTGTCGGCATAGTACCTTTATTAATCTGGGGTCGCCACAGCGGAATGAACCGTCAACTTATCCTGCAAGTTTTTACGCAGCGAATGCCCTTCCAAGCGACCTTCTTGCTGTGAGGCGAACGTGCTACCCACTGCGCCACTGCGTCGCCCCTTACTGTATATATATATATATATATATATATATATATATATATATATATATATATATATATATATATATATATATATATATATATACACACACACACACATATATATACATATATACACATATATATATATGGATCAACAATTTTCTTCACGTCACCTCATACTTTACTTTGTCATCAAATCTTGACCAAAAGTCTTGAACCCTTCCCCAGTCAAATGACTCCACCTCTGTAATGTCAATCGTAACATTCTCCACCCTAAAACATCACATTAATTCCTAATTCCCTCCCACAAGACTGCCTCGGATTATCCAAATGATCAGCCCAGGAAAATAAATCCACCTCCACCTGAACGAATGCTCACTCGCACAATTTCCACAGTGGTCAGTGATAGTGACCATATTTTAAAACCAACACCATTCATCGTCAATGACAATGGAATTTGGTCTTCTCAAACACTCTTGAACAAGAAAAATTGTAGAGATTTTTGATTCAGTTTCAAAACAAAGGTAAGGTTTTAAGTATTTAGGTAACACTGGCATATTTTATTGTGCACTAAATCATTTAATCAGCTCTCACCTCAAATGACACTGCACACTGCGTGATCCCTAATGTTTTAACGTTTGGAGAACATACTGTAACAGGGGGTCAATTGAGAATGCTTGTTAATTTGTTTGTTGTTACAGCTGAAAGTCTCTTGAAGAGAAGGAGCACACTCTTTTAGGCTCTGGCTGGGTCTGAACAACTGACAGCACAATGGCTATGGACTCTGACAGACCACCGGGCTTCTGTTTGGTGGATTATGCGGTATTTGCTGCAATGCTGGGGGTGTCGGTGGGCATCGGGCTGTTCCAGTCTTTGAGAAAGACCCCGGGTCGCTCTAAAGTGGACAGCTTCTTCACAGGCGGCAGGGGTTTCTCTGCTGTGCCGGTTGGACTGTCGCTCTGTGCCAGCTTTATGTCAGCTGTACAGGTGCTCGGTGTGCCATCAGAGACGTATTTGTATGGCTTCAAGTTCCTGTATATGTGCCTGGGACAAGGGCTCAACTCCCTCATGACGGCCGTTCTGTTTGTTCCTGTGTTTTATCGCCTTAAAATCACCAGCTCAAGCCAGGTTTGAACTCGTCTGTTTTTATTTTAGTAGATTTGCAATGTGTAGGTCTACAATCAAAATGATAAAATTGTCATGGAGATTTCATTATTATTTTCCATACATTAGAAAGTGTAGAGCTTAATTTGTGTGTCTGAACTACAAAAAAAAAGAGAGACGACCAACTCTAATTTTTATGTTTTTTCCTAATATTTTACCAGAAATTGCAGAAAGCCTAGGCTGAAATGTCATTCACTGTAACAAAATTTTCATGCATATACATATAATATATACATACAGTTGAAGTCAGAATTATTAGCCCCCCTGAATTATTAGCCCACTGTTTATTTTTCCCCCAATTTTTTTTCTACTGATATATGATGTAATAAGTTTGTATTTTAAAAATAAGTATTTTTTTCCATGTTTCTTGATTCCTAAACTCTGAAAACTGAACTACACTGTTTCAATTCACTATAATCTTCTATCTGAAGCTGCTTTGACACTATCTAAATTGTAAAAGCACTATAGAAAGATGAATAGAATTGAAATGTTTCTTGATTCTAAATCTTTAGAAAATATTTTTGGTACATCAAAGTTGTGATTTTGATGACCATCGGACAAGCTAATCTAGTTGAAAATAATGCTTAAAATGGAGTATTTAAACCTCATAATTACATACATACACACACACACACACACACACACACACACATATATATATATATATATATATATATATATATATATATATATATATATATATATATATATATATATATGTATATATGAAATAATCATAGTCAAAAATAAAAAAGTCAAAAATAACATTTATTTGCAGTATACATTTTGCATATGTTTATACATTTATATTATTGTTTCATATTAAATGTTATAAAATGAAAATTATTTTTCTATATGATTTCATAGACTTCACATAAACTGCATACCATTATTATTGAATTTCATGTATTTCTTAGTCAGATGCACCTGCACAAAGAATCTCAGTAATGTGACGATAAATAAGCGATGAAATGTACAGTGTGGTCCAAAACTGAAAGAACACTGTTGCATTTCCGCGGCTGTATATCACTATTGCATAACAATAATACAAAAAAAAAAAAAAAAAAAAACATTTGATTTTCTGTATTTTTCATGTTCCTCTAATGAGCATGTGCACACTTTTGGTCACTACTGCACCTATATGCCTTGCAGAGGCGTAGCTCGTGGGGAGAAAGGGGGACAGAGTGCATAGGGCTCTGGCAATTTAGGGGCCTTGCTACGGTAAGCCCCCCAGCCACTAATGACTAGGAGGGCCCAATACATTTTTTGTGCATATGGCCCAAAAAATCTGGTGACACCCCTGGTGCCTTGTATTCCTTACAATGTAGGGAGCAAACATGCCTTCAAATATTGCAATATTATTAAATTGTGACTTTTTGGGGAAATTTTTGTATCCATGAGGAAAACAGTTCATGATCATACAGAATCATAACATAATCATGTTTCCTTTGAGAATTGAGTTTAGGGGTAGGCGGATAGAATATAGAGTCTGTACAGTATAAAAATCATCGTCTATAGGAAGTCCCATATACAGTAGATAACTGAACAAGTTTGTGTGTTTCTAAAAAAAAAAGCCAAGATTTAATAAATGTATTTGTTTATCAGTATTTAGGAATGAGGTTTGGCAGAGGGATGCAGCTCTTGGGAAGTTTGCAGTTCATTGTAGCAACTGTAAGTATCATCATATCATCAAAATTATGTTCATAAATAAAATATAATATTTTAGATGGATATTAAAATAGTATATGTAAAATACTGATCAATAAAGCATTGCATGTCATACTTTAATTCCAATATGTGTATTTATATTACTGTTAGATTTTCTGATGTTTATTTTGTACATGTTTGCTTGTTGTTGTAGCTCCTCTACACTGGAATAGTGATCTTTGCTCCTGCAGTCATCTTGAATCAAGGCAAATGAAATAAACTGATGTTCTTTCAATTGAGTTACACTGATAGTCTTGGCTTCAAGTGTCCATTTTATCTCAGTCAAGTTGGATGGCAAATAAGTATCCCAAAGTTATGTTATCGCTTTAGGCCTTTTATTCTAATCAATCTTTTCTTCTTTCCTGAATAAAGCCACAGGCCTGAACATGTGGGCGTCTCTTTTCTCAACTGGGCTCATCTGCACATTTTACACCACAGTGGTAGGCAAGTTTTGAAAATCTTGCCGTTTATGATGATTAACATTTATCTAAGACAAAATATAAATTAAAATGATGCTTTTTTGGTGTTCAGATTTTCTGCAAGTCTGCAAATATACAGTATTTAAATATTTCAGTTTGGCACAGTAATTTAAAGACATCATTAAACAAAACATCTGCATGACCCTGTGAACGTTTGTTTATAAACATACTATTGCATTTCTGTTTTTCCCCCAGGGTGGCATGAAGGCTGTAATTTGGACAGATGTGTTTCAGATTGTAGTCATGCTCTCTGGGTTCATTGCAGTCTTTATTCAGGGCACTATATTGGCAGGAGGGCCTGCCAGAGTTTTGGAGATTGCCAACAATGGATCCCGTATCAATTTTAATGAGTATGAACAATATACAGTTGAAGGAGAAACTATTAGCCCTACTGTGAAATTTTAATTGATTCATTAACTCATTTTCCTTTGGCTTATTCCCTTACACTGTGAAAAAAAGGTTGACTCAACTTACAATTTTCAGGCAACAAACTTCAGGACATTTTTGGGTTAACTCAACTTAAATCGAGTCAAGGGAAGTAATTGGGTTGAAAGTTGAGTCAACACAAAAAAAACTCCTAGAGTTTTTTGCCTTCAAAATTTAAGTTGAGTCAACTTTGTTTTGTGTTTTTTACAGTGTATTTATCAGGCCTCGCCACTGCAGAATGAACCACTAACTATTTTGCCACATGTTTTACACAGCGAATGCCCTTCCAGCTGCAACCCAGTACTGGAAAATGAAAAATTGCAATAGTTTTCAAATATCTTTTCCAAGTGCTGTTTAACAGACAATTTTAAAACATAATAGTTTTAAGAGCTTCTAATACTAAACTAAATAATTTCTAATAACAAATTTTTAATATGTATTTTTTAATAACTAACTTTTGTCTTTGCCATGGTGACAGACAGATCATATTTTACTAGTTATTTTGCAACATACTCAGCCTAAAGTGCTATTAAAAATTCTTAAAGCAGCTAATAATACTGACCTTAAATGACCTTTTAAAAACAATTTCGCTCCAGCCAAACTAAAAGAAACACTTTCCCCAGAAGAAAAAAAAAACATCAGTAAATACTGTGATAAATGTCTTTCTCTGTTAAACAACACTTGGCAAATTTTTCACAGGAGAGCTAATACTTTAGTCTTCAGTTGTAAATATCTATGAAATATATTAAATTCACTGAACTGTTTTAAAAATGACTAATTGCTCATTCGTTTTGTTTGTTACAGTTTTGCGATAGACCCTCAGAGGCGGTACTCATTTTGGAGCTTCACAGTGGGTGGCACTATGGTCTGGTTATCCATGTATGGAGCCAATCAGGCCCAAGTACAGCGATACATATCGTGCAGGACTGAGAAACAAGCTCAGCTGTGAGAGAATAAATCAGTGAAGCATCTAAATATCTTAATTTAGTTTCATTCATTCATTTTCCTTCAGCTTAGTCCCTTATTTATCAAAGGTCGCCACAGTGGTCCCCACCAACTATTCCAGCATATGTTTTACGCAGCGGATGCCCTTCCAGCCGCAACCCAGCACCAGGAAACACCCATACACTCTTGTTCACACTCATACACTATGGCTAATTTAGTTTATTCAATTCACTTATAGCTCATCTGTTTGGACAGTGGGGGAAACCGGAGGACCCGGAGGAAACCCACACAAACACCAGGAGAACATGCAAACTCCACTGAGAAATGCCACTTGGCTCAGCCGGAACTCGAATCAGCAACCTTCTTGCTGTGTGGTGACAGTGCTAACCATTGAGCCACCATGCCGCCAATTTAGCTTCATTTATCATTCAATTTCTGCTAAATATGCTAAAAGCAGTAGTCAATATTGTCATGTGCATAGACGTTTTTCTGAGATCCAGATGCATTGAGTGTCACTGTTGTTCTGCAGGGCGCTGCTGGTGAATCAGGTGGGTCTGTGTCTGATTGTGAGCAGTGCTGCCACCTGTGGAATTGTGATGTTTGCTTTATACTCCAACTGTGACCCACTGAAGATCGGCAGAATATCTGCACCTGACCAGGTAAATTAATACATGCATGAACAGAATTGCACTCCTTTGTAGGAGATTCTGAATTTGACATAATTTCTTATATCCTTAAATAGTGCACTTTTTGAGGGAGTCGCCATTTGTAGTGGTGTCAACTTTGGGTGCATCCCAGTCCAATTTTTATGCCCTTCATTCGCTTACCTCCCGCATCTCCTTCTTTTGGATGTACGTCATTGATTATGTTACGCAAGTGTCCACTACTGGCAGAACATCTGAATGGGAATGCTCTAAACATTTAAGCTTTTGAGAACTAAACTGTTGTTCACAGTCACATGGCATTATGGGACATAAAGAAACTGGAGTGAACATATGAAGCAGACTCGCTCCATTGATTTTGATTGATCGAGGGTATATCTTTGTAAGCTTCTCTCGTTCACTTGATGAAGTGGAAGGCGCTTCAAAATGGTGTTGGGGATTCTCCCAAAGTCTCTTTAAGGCAAGTCATTTCACTCGCCGGCCATCTTTGAAATGCCTCTCGGGCAGTATGCTCAAAACATCAAATTCTCCAAAATTGTTTGCCAAGCTTATGCTTGAATTTCATATTAGGAATCGCCAATGAAATTAAACAACAGCTGTCTCTTTAGTTTCAAATCAAACAAAAAAATCAGAAACTCACGTCTCGTCCAAATCCGTCCCCCAGAGTATCATCAGTCTAGAGCAGGGGTGTCCAAACTCGGTCCTGGAGGGCCGGTGTCCTGCACAGTTTAGCTTTAACTTCCTTTAACACACCTGCCTGGAAGTTTCTAGTATACCTAGAAAGAGCTTGATTAGCTGCTTCAGGTATATTTAATTGGGGTTGGAACTAAAATATGCAGGACACTGGCCCTCCAGGAGCGAGTTTGGACACCCATGGTCTACAGCAATCGATGATTGGCTCCTGTACCAGAAGGTGGGCTTTTTACACCATATAGTGATCGATGATTGGCTCCTGGGCTTTATTCACCATATTGACAGTTACACGTTTCCCCATTAAAAAAGATAAGAATGACATCAAAAATACTGTAATGTTTACAGTATTACTGGCAATTATGGTTGCCAGTAATACTGTAAAATTTACAAGCACACTGTAAATTAACAATTACAATTCGGCTGTAAAACTACAGCAGAATTTAAATTATTTATTTACATTGCACTTGTAAAATTTACAGTATTCCTATTGGTTAAGTTTTAAAATAAATAATTTAATTTTACTGTCATTTAAGTGGTCTATTAGTGGACTAACATGGAGAATAGTGAATAACGGTATAGTAGGCAATCTATTGTTAACATTATTCCTCAAATATGAGCGGGCGCAGCCATTGGATTCTTTTTGGTTCAAGACTTACAGTCTGATGATTGTTAGATGTTAAAAACAACTCGTTATGCTGCTTGATGTTGCAAACTGACATTTTCTTATTATATTTTTCTACTTGTTATCTATAGTCATGAACACACTTGTTTGTAGAGCAAGTCGTTTGACTGTTTTCTGACGTTTATTATTCCAAGTCATTTCTCCCATAGGCAGCTGAATGGGCTCTAAAACGAGCGCACCTCCGCATAGCAGAATATGAATGAAAACTCAAAATCTGCTTGACATACTGATTATTGTGTACCTGATTAAATAACATATTTCAAATCAACAATACACTCTTATTAATGTTATTCCTTATATAAAAAATGCTACAAAATAGGGCTGCACAATATATTGTTTCAGCATCGATAACACAATGTGATCATTCGCAATAGTCACATCGCAGGATATGCAATGTTGAGTTTGTATTATAATTGATCATTTGCATGTGCTTTTAATGCCTGTGGTTGTATAATGATTTTAAAAACATTCCAGTACAAGCAATTGAACCATTTGTGACTTTAACTACGATAAATTTTATTGAATTATTATTTTTTTTATCATTCAGTTGCTTTGCAGTATACTATTAGACTCGGGAAATGATAAAACACTTTATTTCAATTGTATCTTTTTCTTGATTGCATTTATAGATTGTTATGCATGAAGATACTTACAACACATGCAAATACAGAAACGCACGGCAAGTAGCACAGACAACAATAAAAATGTGTCGGGGGACCCTAAAAGTTTATAGATTTGTTTATTAGATTTTATGGCGATGCTTATAGTAAACATTAATTAATCAATCTCTGAATAAACAAGTGCATGGAAATACGTACAACACAAGCAAATAAAGATATGCACTGCAAATAGCACAGGCCACAATGAAAATGTGTCGGGGGGCCCTAAAAGTTTATAGATTGTTTATTAGATTTAAAAGAGAAACACTCCCACTGCAGAATCATCCCAATCGCTCTACCATTATAATTTTTTTCCAAATAGAGATATTCAGTCATCTGGTGAAATTGTGTTCAGATTGCAATGTATATCACACAACAAAAAATACTGCAATGTTAGATTTTTCCAATATCGTGCAGCCCTACCTAAATGACACATTATGTTTCGAATGCATTTGTTGAATCTATAATTGTTCAACCCAACTTTTCACAGTACATGCCGTACCTGGTTTTGGACATTTTCCGGAATCATCCTGGCTTCCCGGGTCTTTTTCTAGCCTGTGCCTACAGTGGGACTTTAAGGTGCTTGAACCAGTCAGAGTCTTCAGTGAGGTGTTGATTACTGGTTACAAAACCTCTCTCTTCTGTTTCCACAGTACCGTCTCCACCAGCATCAATGCCATGGCTGCTGTCACTATGGAGGACGTGATGAAGCCGTGGTTAATCACCATTTCACAGAGAAAACAGCTCATGCTCTCCAGAGCTTTATGTGAGGCTAAATGCAGCTTATACCTCTTTTCTGTGTTACATATAAACATGTACAGTTGAAGTCCCAATTATTAGACCTCATGTGAATTTCTTTTTTGAATATTTCCCAAATGATGTGTAACAGAGCAAAGAATTTTTCACAGTATTCCCTATAATATTTTTTCTTCTGGTGAAAGTCTTATTTGTTTTATTTCAGCTACAATAAAAGTAGTTTTTAATTCTTTAAACCATTTTAGGGTCACTATTATTATCTCTCTTAAACAATAAGTTTTTTCAACTGTTTACAGAACAAACCATTGTTAAACAATAACTTGCCTAATTACCTTAACTTACCGAATTAACCTAATTAATCTAGTTAAGCCTTTAAATTGCCCTTTAAGCTGAATACTAGCATCCTAAAAAATATCTAGTAAAATATTATGTACTGTCATCATGGCAAAGATAAAAGAAATCAGTTATTAGAAATTAGTACAGGGGAGCTAACAATTCGAGGGCTAATAATTCTGACTTCAACAGTGTTTTTTAGGGCCAGTTTACATAATAATGACATACTAAAAGTGATTTAAAATGTATTGATTGTGGCACTTAAAGGTTTAGGATATAGGAGATAATGTTGTCAAAATTATTCTAATTAAGACTTGTAGAGTCTTGACTTGTAATTATTCTAATTAAGACTCTAATTAAGACTTGATTAGGACTTACTAATTAAGACACTTAAAATACTGTCTTATGCCATGCCAGTGGGAGAAAATGTTACTTTGTAAACATACACACAACAACAGCATTGTTTCTCTTTTTACACTTATACAAGAATTGTAAATTGTTTTTATAACTATTGTAACAAACTGCAATAAATATTTAAGCATTTATTATTCCCTTCTGTGATTATTTTTAAATTGGGTTATATTTTATATATACAGTTGAAATCAGAATTATTAAACCCCCTGAAATATTAGTCCCGTTTATTTTTATAAGGCAAGTTATTGTATAATTCAATTGCACATTGTATAATTGATGGTTTGTTCTGTAGACTATCGATAAAACAAATAGCTTAAAGGGGCTAATAATTTGACCTTAAAATGGTGTTTAAAAAATTACAAACCGCTTTTATTCTAGCCGAAATAAAACAAGTAAGACTTTCTCCTGAAGAAAAAAATGTTATCAGACATGCTGTGCAAATTTTCTTGCTCTGTTAAACATTATTTGAAAAATATTTTAAAAAGAAAAGAAAATTCAAATGGGGGCTAATAACTTTGAGTTTGTAACTACATTTTTATATTTATGAAATTACAAAAGCTTATTTATTATGTTAGGCTTTTAATAGTGTTTTTTTTTAAATGTTTTTTAATGTTCTTGCTGGGTTTGATGTAACGTAATTTTGTTAGCATTACAATCTATTGTGATGTTTTGAATGACAAAAATATAGGAAACTGACCTTTCAGTAGATAGAATGAGTCTGATAAGGGTCAGAAATGATAATGACATTTTTATTTTTGTGTGAATTAATGTGAAAAAATAATGTTACAATCCAAAAGGGTTTCCATCTTAAAATCTTCTTTTATAAATTGTATTTTATACCAACATTACATTTCTGCATTAAAAAGAGATTATTATTATTGATTTTATTTAAAGTAAGAGTCAATCATATGACTCTGCAAGTCTCTAATAATATCTGGAAATATGGGTACAATGACAAAACTCTTGTTTGTTTTCATGTGTAAACCAGCGCTGTTCTATGGGCTTGGCTGCATTACAATGGCTGCACTCTCCTCTCTGCTGGACTGGGGAGTACTTCAGGTATGAACTGTAATGTTTAAGCAGAAGGTAGCAATGTTTCCATCCATATTTTTATGCACATTTTGTAATATTGCATAAAAATGCCAAGATGCACATAAATGTTAAAACTGTACATCCAATGAGAAAAAAATGTGCATAAACTACAATGGAAACACATTAGCTGTTTTATCAAAAGATGCTAATTAGATTTTTACAACTTCACATTCACAGATATTTGACTAAATAGAATATCCGTAGTTGGCATGCTGTCTGGGGAAAGGGGTTCTGAGCTCAGAAAGGCACCCTAACTTGTGTTATTCCCCTTATAGGATAGGAGATAGGGGTCTGAGCACATTGTTTAGCCAGGTGTCCTGAGATTTTATCCTACGCATCAGATTACGCCACCAACACTGTATTTAAGTTCTGAGGCTGGGGTTAGGGATTAGGTAGGTTAGGGCAATATTACAGCTTGATATACACTGGTAGCAAATCTGATGGGTATGATATTGTGTCATCAAAATGTGCTACCTACTTTTTGAATGAGAGGTAGGACAAATTTGACAAGGTAGGACAAACTGACAACAGCGCGTTGTCCCAGAGCGTTCGCCCCTCCAATTTATGTAGGTATCAGGTTTAAAAGTGTGGAGCTGGTGTGGTGGTGGGATGCTAAAGTCTAGAGAAAACCGAGGTAGGACATGCTTTACTATTTATAGGAGTATAATATTAATAATAATAATAATAATAATACTTTTCATTTATAGGCACCTTTCAAAGCACTCAAGGACATCTTACAATATGTCACCGGAACATTATAAAAAAAAAAAAAACTAGACAGAAGAATAATAAACATAATATTAAACCAGAAAATCATTAAAAGCAATCCTAAACAGAAAGGTTTTAACCTGGGATTTAAAATTGGAGATGAATCCCTGATGTCCACCTGATGAATATCTAACGGCAGGGAATTCCATAACTGTGGTGCTGTGCAGCTAAAGCCCTGCCACCAAATGACTTCATCTTAAAATTTGGAACTTGAATTTGGATAACAGTTCAGCCGCAAAAGATCTCAGTGAGCACCGAGGAGTGTACCAGTAAAGAGATCAGAGAGGTAATAGAGTGCCAGGTTGTGAAGAGCTTTGTAAATTAATATAAGAATTTTAAAAAACAGGAAGCCAATGCAAGTGAAAGAGATTGGGGATATGTGTTCAGAAGCACACGAGCGGGTGACTAGCTGCTGAGTGAAGTTGGTAACCTAGCTGTAATCTGTGAAGTTGGCTAAGAGGAATATCAGATAGGAAGAAATTGCAATAATCAATCCTTGATGTAACCAGAGAATGAACAAGCACTTCAGTACTTTGATGAGATATAGTGAAGAGCGAAGTCTTGCAATGTTACGTAAGTGAAAAAAGGCAGATCGTGAAATATTACTAATATGTGAATTAAGCGAAAGCATACCATCTAGTATAGCCCCAAGACTTTTAGCATTAGTTGTAAAATTTACTAAAGAATTATTGATAGATAGAGTAAAGGATTGAGCTTTGGAAAGAACAGATTTAGAGCCAACCAGAAGGGCTTGAGTTTTACAGGCATTTAACTTTAAAACGTTATTGGTCATTCACATATTAATATCAAGAAGACATTTAGTAAGATCGAAGGAAGGGTGAGATGAAGCATTCTTAGTAGACATATAAAACCTTCAAATCATCGGCATAAAAAAGAAAATGTATGCCATAAGAACGAAATATATGACCCAAAGGTAAAATGTAAATAAGAAATAAAAGAGGACCCAAAACAGATCCCTGAGGAACACCATGAGTGACTGAGACTGCATTAGAGCAACTGTTCTTTACCTGGACAAACTGTTTTCTGTAAGTAAGGCCAGCAGAGGACATTATTAGCGATTTTGTTGTTTCTTATGCTGATTGTATGATAAAATGATTGTCAATATTGAATTAGCTTTGGCAGAACGGATCGTGTTTCTCCAAAAATTTGTTTATAAAACATCACTATGCGCAAAACTGCAATATTGCATGAAACATTTGCTAATAAAAATTGCTAACTTCCTTCCAATGAGTCGAAGAGAACAGAATAATTTTTGATTCCCTTTGACACATTGAACTAAACTGCTTTATTCGCAAATGATTTCTGCAATGTTCCAGCATTATTCAAGTCTAATTTACATCTTTGGATGAAAACAGCGTTTGCGTTTCAATCTACAGTATGTGTCTGCTTTCTAACCAGCTTTATTTTTCTCTGTCAACCCCAGGGTTCATTCACAGTGATGGGTGTAGTGAACGGTCCACTGCTGGGAGCATTTGCCCTCGGCATGTTTGTTCCCGCCACAAATAAACCGGTACGACTTCACGAACATCACCATCCACCATATTGTCCAATCCAATGAACAGCTGTGTAATATCTCTGACACTTTTCAGGGGGTTTTCTCAGGCGTGGCAGTGGGTTTCTGTCTGTCTCTATGGCTTGCTGTTGGAAGCACGATTTATCCTCCTTCACCACAAATTATGGGTGTTTTGCCCACTAGTGCTGGACAGTGTCTGACAACTAATGCAACACTCAACACCACAGCATCTGTCCTGGCTTCATCAGTCCCTCTGGATTACAGGTGAGATACTGTATATTACACTTTATAATGACCACAGCAAGTCCATCACTGCTCTGAACACAAGTACTAAGTTTTGTTTTTCCAACTTAATTCATACAGCTTTCAAAACATCTATTCAATATCCTACCTGTACTTTGGAGCTCTGTCAACTAGTGCAGTCGTGCTGGTTGGTGTGGTGGTCAGTTATATTACAGGTGAGAGACAGCCGCTTAAAGTAGTGTTAGTATAGATATTCATAATAATATAAAATGAATGTGAATGTTATTTTTGATTCAAATAAATATGTTGTATTATTACAGGACCCACTAAGAAGGATTCTATCAGTCCAGGTTTGTTACGGTGGAACTTGGAACAAAAGCCCTGCGATGCATCTTGCCATATTTTGGTAAGTTTAATAGTTAACTTGCAGTACTTCAAATATTTCCACCTGAATTCTGGTGTTATTTTAGCATTATTTAAATACAATTAGGGGTGACATGGTAGTCCACTTTCTGTGTGGAGTTTGCATGTTCTTCCCATGTTGGTGTGGGTTTCCCCAGGTGCTCCAGTTTTACCCACAGTTTAAAGACATGAGCTATAGGTCAATTGAATAAGCTAAATTGGCCGTAGTGTATGTGTGTGAATGTGTATGGATGTTTCCCAGTACTGAGATGCAGCTGAAAAGGCATTCAATGCATAATAGACAAAAAGTAAAAAAGTGCTGGATAAGTTGGCGGTTCATTCCGATGTGGTGACCCCTGATTAACTTTGAACTGATGAACTATGATTGATAAATGCTGTACATTCATTAATGTGCACATTCATTATAAGTTCATTCATTCATTTTCGTTTTGGCTTGGTCCCTTAATTGATCTGGGGTCGCCACAGCAGAATGAACCGTCAACTTAAAACATATGTTTTACTGTAACCAGGGATGTGACACTGAAAACAGAGGTGCGGATCCACATGCAGGTTTATTCGAATGGTCAGGCAAGCAGTGGTCAATACAGGAGCAAACAGATGTATAAGGGCAATCCAGAGTCATAGTCAAAATAACAGGCAGACTGTCACGAGGCAGGCAGCAAACAGGATTAAACAAATAACAAGGCGAGGATCAAGAACACGGAAAAACAAGACAAAGGAAAACGGGTTCTAGTGTCACTAAACAAATAACAAGACTCAGCAACAACTATGGGTTTGAGAGGTGTTCTTAAAGTCCAAGTAATCAGTCTGTGAGCAGCTTCAGCTGTGAGAGTGTAATCAGTCAGGATCTGGAACATGTGTGTGTGAGCGGAGTGCATGTATGGAGTTGTAGTCCTTCAAATGGTGGATTTACAGTCTGTCAACACTTGTGAGTGTTTTCCAGCGATCTATGGTATTTTAGATTGCTGGTGATCGCGACATTTAACCAGCGGATGCCCTTCAAGCTGCAAACCATCACTGGGAAACACCCAAACACTCCCATTCACACACATACACTAAAGACAATTTAGCTCACCCAATTCACCTATAAAGCATGTCTTTGGACTGTAGGGGAAACTGGAGAACCCAAAGGAAACCCTCATGAACAAAGGGAGAACATACAAACTCCACACAGAAATGCCAACTGACCCAGCTGAGGCTCGAAACAGCGACCTTCTTGCTGTGAGGCAACAGTGCTAACCACTTAGCCACCATGTTGGCCACATAATAAACATTTTTAAATTGAAATAAGCGATGCGTCTCAAATCGCATACTTCCATGCTATATAGTACGCTAAAATCAGTATGCGAGCCGAGTAGTATGTCCAAATTCATAGCATTCAAAAATCAGTATGCGAGAAGTACCCGGATGACTTACTACTTTCGGCAAAACTCTAAAGTGCGCATCCCATGATGCACCACAAGAAAATTCATGAATGGGAGTGAAGCGGCACATGTGGTCACAAGCCCATTTCAAAATGACGTACGTCCGAATTCCATTCTTACATTCATACTGTATAGAACATACTTTTCTAACAGCCGAGTAGTACGTTCAAATTCAAATGCAGTACCTACTAAGTAGTAGGCGGTATCGGACACAGCCATAATGTCACAATATCATTGTATTTTTTTTTTTTTTTTTTTTGTATAAATATAGGAGCTGAAGAGCCTTTTTTCAGGTTTTATTATTGTACTATTTCTTTGATTAAATGTTTAGTTCAGATGTAAATCAACTTGCTGAAGTCATATTCTTGTCTCCACAGAATGAAACTATAACACTGAATCCCACAGAAATCCTTCTGACTCCAAAGGAACTTTTTCCGATTGCTGCTGATAAACAAGATATTTTACTCACCAAAGGGGAAATTTAGACATGTGCCAGATTTGTTTTGTCGTATTTTAAACTAATATCCAAATGCCGATTAACTCAAATAAATGAATTCTTGTGGAAAAGCAAATGTGGCTGTACTAAATGAAATGAAAGCTTTTCTATATAACATCATGCAAAGGACATTCTGTACAGTCTCATATCAAATATGTCACGTGATTTGGTTATCTTCATTTTTGGTTGACATTACTGAATACCTCACCATCATCACCTGATTCAATGGATGATTCTTTGACCTACTAAACAATAGAGTTTCTTTCATGGTACAATTTCATGCACAATGTGTTTCTGTTCATCACACACCTGCATCACACCCGTAGGTTCACTTTCATTCCTAGCCAGCACAGAAAAGAAGATAAACATGCACACAAAAGTGATTTAAAGCAGCTATATCTCTGTAAAGCTTTTCAAAAAATAACCAGAAACTATTTGATACTATTTATAATGAATAATTAGCCTGATTAGTATGCAGATTCAAATGATTTTAAACTAAACTTGACCATGATAAAGATTTTAATTAGTTTGTGACTGTGTCTAATATTATTTCTGTGTCTAAGCTTGTTAAACAAGAGTTTATTAAAGACAATCCTCAGCTTTTCTGAGACCTACACAGTAAAAAAGTGACTTGTATTAACTTGTAAAAATAGTAATATGCTACAGAAAGAAAACAAAATGTCCTTCCTAAATATTGTGAATAAATGTAATAAATCTAACCTTATATTTAATGTCCTTTTATAGTACTGCACACAGTAAAATTGCACAATTCATTCCGGTTGTCCCAACACAAAATAATTAAGTTAACTTAACAAATTGAAGTAGATTGAACACAAAACAATTAAGTTGTCCCCCAAAAATCTCAAGAATTATGTTGTTTAAGCTCATTTTTCATATACAGTTTGGACAAGCAGTAAAATAATTGTACAATACTATTACAGTTAGTTTTAGAACGTTAGAAATCAAGTCACTGTATTGTTTACATTGTCATTTTTATCAGTTATGTGCACATTGATTTTGTTATATCTGATCTCGTCAAATGTTCATTTTGTGTTCTCATGATGGTGTTTAGTAGTTGTCAACTGATTTTAAGTTCCTTCATTATGTAACTTTCCCATCACCACAAGTTTTTAGATGACAAGGCTACAGAGTTGATTGTCAGTAGGTTGGTGTATACTGTAAACATTAAAACTGATTTTTTTATGGTAAATATCTGTTCAATCTGTTAAATCTTCAACCTTAATTTTTGTCAAGTCAACCACAGCTGCATTTTTTACAGTAATTTTCCCAGATTTTTTTCTTTTTTTGGTGCCAAAAAAACTAAAGTTATCAGAAATAACAATAAACCATTTCAGTGTTTATGCATTCACTTAAAAAATAAAGCTTCTTTATCTATATTCAAGAAGATTTTCACACTAATGGAAACTATTTAATAGTGGAAAAATGTCTATAGATTAATATACATTACACTTCACATTTTGTTCTTTTGGCCAAAATCTATTAGGGGAATCAAAAAAATCTTTATTTTATGGTATTGCTGTAATATCCATTATTTTGGTTGTTCCTGGCAACTTTCTTTTATTTTATTTATTTATTTATCTGATTTTTATGTCAGTTAAACAGCCCATTTTATGCCAATCATTATATAATTATAGTTTGACAATATGATAGCATATAAATGCAAGTACACTAGAGCAAATAATATTTCATTTTTAAGATTATTTAGATTTTGGAGTTGGAAGTTGAATCATATATTAAAGGTCATCCGATATGAAAAAAATAATGTAGTAATTTATGGTAAATTAACCGTAATATTAACTTTGTTGAATGTGTGACTTTATAATTAATACAGCTGAAAAAAATTGTTGTGAAAACTGAGAAGTTTTGATATTGAGAAGGAAATTTTGATTGTCGTATATATAAATCACTTACTGAATCTGTCCTTAGTTTTAATATCATAGCCTGGTTTAACTCCCTCTCTGTTAAAAGCAATAATAAACTTTTAAGATTAGTAAATGTAGCAAGTAAAATAATTGGTGAGAAACAAACACTTCTAACTGATTTATTTATGGCAGCGACAAAAAGAAAAACCTCCACTATCATGGAATACTATTCCCATAGACAATAAAGTTTATTGAATTGAATTGAAATGATTAGCCCTCCTGTGAAATTTTCATTCTTTTTCAAATATTTGCCAAGGGATGTTTAATAAGGAAAGGACATTTTCTTTCATAAAGTTTTCTTTAATATTTTCTTTTTCTGAAGAAAGTTTTATTTCATTCAGTTTGGCTGTAATAAAAGCAGATTTTAAATACTTTAAACCCATTTTTATGGTCAATATTAATAGTCCCCTTAGGATTTTTTTCTGATTAACTACAGAATATACTACACTACCTGATAAAATGCCTATTCATGTTTTAGAAACAAATAATAACTTTGGTATCAGAAGTGGCTTATATGAAAGGCATAGGCTTTTAGATTACGCTTATTTTACCAAAATAAAATATGAGCATGATTTTTTTAATGATATAATTAAGACAGTAAAGTCTGACTTTGCTCAGACCAAACTCTTGTCACTTAACAGAAATAATGTAAAGTAGAATACAAAGTCATGGTGCAGCGGGAAAATAATTAATATGACTTAATATGATTGTGTATGAGCTTGGTGGACTGCATCCATACATCTCCGCAATGACTCAAATAAGTGAATAATAAAGTAGTTTCTGGAATGACAAAGAAAGCATTCTTGCAGGACTCCCAGAGTTCATCAAGATCCTTTGGATTCATCTTCAATGCCACCTACTTCATCTTATAGTCACCAAACATGATCAATAATGTTCATGTTTGGTGACTGGGCTGGCCAATTCTGAGCACCTTGACCGTCGTTGCTTTCGGGAGCTTTGATGTTGAGGCTGAAGTATGAGAAGGAGTGCTATCCTGCTAGAGAATTTGCCCTCTCCTGTGGTTTTAAATTGAACTTAAAGCTGATTACTAGCATCTTGCTAAATAATTAGCAAACAGTTATGTACTGTCATCATGGCAAAAACAAAATAAATTAATTATTAAAACAATTATGTTTAAAAAAATGTGTTAAAAGATTGAAAATTTCACAGGAAGACTGATAGTTTTACTTCAACTGTAGGTAGATTTACTGTACATCCAGTTTCACAGAGATAAGCTGTCGAGCGGCCTTGTCACATTCACAGCAAACTGAAATGTCAATCAAGGGCACATATTACCTTCTAATTAAATAAGTGAAAATGAAAGAGGGTTCATATAACTGATATCAGGCCAAATGGAAGAAAACCTACTCAGTTCTTCTCTCTCTGCAGGCGGAAATAACAAAACCACCGCTCACTAGCGCCGAAAGAGGAAACCACAGTTTCAGTCTTCTCATGTAAAGAAAGCAACAACACCCCAGCAAACACCCTGTCTGTTTTTCTCTCTCTCAATCTTATAAATACACCCTGCTTGCACTCCACAGTATGCAGGGGTGGTCATGTTGTCAATTAACAGCCTGGTTACAAGTCTAGAAACCAAGATGTCACATGAGGTTGACTAGTAGAGAAACATCAGCTAGTGTTGATCTTACTAAAACAGTCTGGAAATGAGGTGCTTTGTGGTTTGCTCTTTCCGGAAATCATTTGTTCCCTCCCACCAGCAGCTCACAACAGCGAAGCCTGGGCCGTATTTATGACGCTTCTAACATCAACATGAACAAACCATCAAAGTTTCGTCTTAAATAAATTCAGGTAACACCTCTTAGTTGTCTTTATCTTTGTTGTCAATCTTAATTATATAACAAATACCTGGTAGCTTGACCATCTCAGAGCATATGTAGATGGAAATCATGTGGTCGGCAGAAAAATTTAGCATTTTGCGAGTTTGATGGTGTGTATTTCATGTATATTTGTTTGTCTTATTGTTGTTTGTGGCCTTTTAATGGATTATTATTCATGTCTGTGTTTCTGTATTATAACATTTGAGTACAACATCTGACAGCCGATGGAAACAGAAACCAAACTAACGTTTAAATCCTTGATATATATATATTTATATATATTATATACTTTACTTTTGATGGCTTATTGTTTTGAATCTCTTGGAAAACACCCATAAAGTTGTTTGTTAGGGAAAGTACAGCTTATAACATGTGAACGATGAGTTCACTTCTATGAAGGGTTTGACCACCCTAGTTCCAAGAACTGCTATTAATGTTAATGCACTGCTTTCCCGAACAATATGTTGATGTTTCTTGAAATCAAATTACTTACAGTAGCTCTCGGGTTCTGATTGACTCACTGTATTTGTAAATAAATATTGTAATAATAATAATAATAACTAAATTGGTCTTTTAGTGTGCTCTTTTGATTTGATAAATGGCTTTTGGGATGCCCAGCAGTAACATTCCTTATTTAGGATGTGAGATGAAGTGGAAATGTCATTTTAACAGTGTTCAGTATGTTTTTGTTAATGCTGAAAGAGCTTTAAATATAATAATAGAACAGATAATAACATAGCAATAATAAGATAATAGCCAAATAGAAGATTGTAGTTTGTTTATTTGAATTTGAATCCCTTTGGGATCAAAATATTTTTTTTAAACAGATATTCTCATTAGCATTATTTTAATAATGACCTACTTCGATGCTAATTCTAGTAGTAATAGTTCATTCTGCTCACCAAGACATTTATAATCAAAAATGCAATACAAACATTAAAAAATCTGCACTAATGTTTTAATTTAAGATAACCATTTTCTCTGTCAATACATTTTTTTTATGTAATTCTCTCTTGTGATTCTTAGCTGAAATTTTATTATCATTACTCCAGTCTTCGGTGTCACACACTCAAAAAAAAAATAAATGTTTAACTTGTTCAAACGACTTACTTAAAATGAGCTGAAACAACACAATTCTTGAGAGTTCATAGGGACAACTTAATTTTTTTTATGTTCAATCCACATGAATTTGTTAAAAGTGTAAACTTAATCGATTTGTGTTGGGAAAACATGAATAAATTGTGTGGAACCCTGCATTTTTTCAGTGCATTATTCTTCAGAAATGTTCTAACATG